CCACACAGTGGCTATCGTCCAATACAAAGCAGAAGGTGTAAGGAGAGGAGGAGTTTGAGGTAATCAGTCCCTCAGCCTGGAGTCAATGTGTTCGGTCCATCAGTCTTGTAGAATGTACAGCATAGGGCCATAGACATGGCTTATATACTGTAGTCAGGTGAGGCGTAGCAGGAGGAGGCGGGGTCATAGTGGTACCATCCACTAGTCGAAGTAGGTCTTCGTCCAAACTCCTCCTCTCCTTACACCTTCTGCTTTGTATTGGACTGATGAAGCCACTGTGTGGCGAAACGTTTCCTGAATAAAAATTCCCATATGTTGCATAAGTGTCTCAATCTTCAACTTGTCGGTTTTTCAAACCATTCATCACAATTCCGGTACATGTACAGTACAGTGGACCCCCGGATTTCATCTGGTGTGGAAATTGCATAATTTGGATTTCAACCGCTTTTTTCAGAGAAATTTTATCCCTGGTTCTGTACATCCACTCGGAAATCGTCCATACCAGACGTGTCTGCCTGGGCCACTCATATGTTCGTGACTCACTCTTGGGCACATTAAATGTCTTATTTTATGTTAATATAGACATTTTCATTAATCCACCTATGATATTTTCTTCAAAGTTATATAAGAAACACGTTACATAGCATACAGTGGACCCTCGGTTAACGACGTCATCGGATGATGTAAAAATCGGATGACACTTTTTCCGTCAAAATATTGGCTCAGTTAATGACAAAGAACTAGGTTAAAGTTGTTCACCCCGAACATGTCCGCACGGCCTGAGCGGCCCTGCCACTCCATGTACAGCCAGTATGCCATTGTTTACAAGCCAGTGAGGACGATTCCACTCATACATGCAATACATTTTGTATTATTCCATTGTTTTTTGCGCTTGTAACAGCTAAATAAGCCACCATGGGCCCAGAGAAAGCTTCTAGTGCCAGCCCTGTGGCAAAGAGGGTGAGAAATACTATTGAGCTCAAGAAAGAGATCATTGCAAAATATGAAAGTGGAGTGCATGTCTCCAAGCTGGCCAGGTTGTATAACAAACCCCATACAAGCATCGCTACTATCTTGGCCAAGAAAAAGGCAATCAAGGAAGCTGTTGTTGCAAAAGGTGCAAATGTGCTTACAAAACAGAGATTGCAAATACTTGAAGAGGTGGAGAGACTGTTGTTGGTGTGGATCAATGAGAAAATTATCAGGAGATAGTTTTTCACAGTCAGTTATATGTGAAAAGGCAAGGCAGTTGCATGATGATCTAATTAAGAAAATGCCTGGAACTAGTGCTCATATTGGTGAATTTAAGGCCAGCAGAGGTTGGTTTGAGAGATTTAAGAATCATAGTGGCATACACAGTGTGATAAGGCATGGTGAGGCTGCCAGTTCTGACAAAAAAGCAGCTGAAAAATATGTGCAGGAATTTAAGGGGTACATAGAGGCTGAACAATTAAAACCCCAACAAGTGTTCAGTTGTGATGAAACAGGCCTGTTTTGGAAGAAAATGCCAAACAGGACCTACGTTACTCAGGAGGAAAAGGCACTCCCAGGACACAAGCCTATGAAAGACAGGCTAACTCTTATGTTTTGTAGTAATGCTACTGGGGATTGCAAAGTGAAGCCTTTACTCGTGTATCACTCTGAAACTCCCAGCGTGTTCAAGAAAAACAGTGTCGTCAAGCCTAAATTGTGCGTGATGTGGAGGGCAAACAGTAAGGCATGGGTCACTAAGGACATTTTCCTCGATTGGTTCTATGACGTGTTTGGCCCCAGTGTGAAAAAATACTGGAAAATAAATTGCCACTCCAGTGCCTCCTGTTAATGGACAATGCTCCTGCTCATCCTCCAGACTTGGAAGAGCAAATTGTGGGGGAGTTTAGTTTCATCAAAGTTAAATTTTTGCCCCCTAACATCACTTCTCTCCTCCAGCCCATGGACCAGCAGATCATTTCAAATTTAAAAAAAACTGTTCACCAAAGCAGTGTTTCAAAAGTGTTTTGAAGTGACCTCAGACACTGAATTGACCCTAAGAGAGTTCTGGAAAGATCACTTCAGTATCCTCAGTTGTAAAAACCTTATAGGTAAGGCTTGGGAGGGAGTGACTTGCAGGACTTGGACTCTGCTTGGAGAAAATTGTGGCCAGAATGTGTACAAGAGAGGGTTTTTGAAAGGTTTGGGACTAACCCTGAGGAGCCTATGCCAGTTGTGGAATCTATTGTGGCACTGGGGAAGTCCATGGGGGTTGGAAGTTAGTGGCAAGGATGTGGAAGAGTTGGTGGAGGACGACAATGAAGAGCTAACCACTACAGAGCTGCAAGAGCTTGAGGTGCAACAGCAACAGACCACAGCTCAGGAATTTCCTTCAGAGGAGGGGGAAGAGAGATGGAGGAAGTTGCCTTCTTCAATGATTAACCCTTTGACTGTCGCTGCCGTATATATACGTCTTACGAGGTACCGTGTTTGATGTATTTATTTATTTATTTATTTATTTATTTATTTATTAACAATTTGAGCATACATACAGAGGTACAAAAAAATACAGATAAGAGCAGCATGCCAAAGCCACTTATACTATGCATAGCATTTCGGGCTGGCTTAAAATTAACTAAGCAATGATGAAATCAGTGATAATACATTATTGTAAACAGATAACTATAAAGCACAAATGAGTATTACAAAGACAGGTCATATGGTTGCATGCATTGTTGTACATTCAGTCGTATGGAGTATTCTGTTAGGTAGTGTATTTAAAAAATAATAAAATTAGATTGGGTTTTAGGTTTAACATTGTATGTATATGTATATACGTATACTGATGTATATGTATATATACATGTACTGATGTATATATACTCATAAATTCTAGCGGCTTCAAATCAAGCAGGAGAAAGCTGGTAGGCCCACATGTGAGAGAATGGGTCTGTGTGGTCAGTGTGCACCATATAAAAAAAATCCTGGAGCACGCAGTGCATGAGAAAAAAAAAACTTCAACCGTTTTTTTTTTTAATTAAAATGCCGACTTTGTGGTCTATTTCCGTATAGTATTTATGGTTGTATTCTCGTTTTCTTGGTCTCATTTGATAGAATGGAAAACATGTTATAGAAACAGAGGTGATTTTGATTGATTTTGCTATAAAAAGAACCTAGAAATGGAGCTCAAAGTAGGGGAAATGTTTGATTTTTGCCAATGTTCAAAAGTAAACAAATGATGCCATTGTCCAATAAATGTCCAACTAGCCATTCTAATATGCAGTCATGAATGGGTTTATGTTATTTATACAATTATTACAGTATTGCAGTAGTCTGCATAATAGTAAGTCTTCTATTTTTTGTTTGAATAAAAATTCAAAATAGAAAGCAAGAGTAATATCAGAGGGGCTTGGAGACGTGACTGATGAACAAAGAAAATGTTATTTTAGAGCCAGGAATGTCTGCATTGTTCATTCTGGACCTTATTTTGAAATTGTCATATTTTTTAGTTTTCGTGAAATTGGCCAAATTGCAAATTTCTGACCACATTATTAGGTAGTTGAAATCGGTAAATGGGCAGTTTCTTGTACTCAATCGATAGAAAAAATAGAGTTCTAAAGAAATAGCTGAGTTTGGGCGACTGGAACAATGGAATTAGCCGAAAATAGGGCTCAAAGTGGGCGAAATCACAGATTTGTAAACAGCGCTGAGGTCGCTAACTTCGCGAGAGCATAATTCCGTCAGTTTTCCATCAAATTTCGTTTTTTTGGTGTCATTACAATCGGGAAAAGATTCTCTATCATTTCATAAGAAAAAATATTTTTTTTTTTTTTTTAAATTTTGCGACACCAGGAGACACCTTCAAAATTGTATAAGAAACATGTTACATAGCATATAAACATGCAATGTTTATGTGCTGTGGAGCGGTGGTAGTCAGTGGAGGGAAAACATTACATTTTCTCTGGTCCAGTATTAGCGAAAGCGTGTATGAATCTGCGTTGGACCAGTTACCGCTATTAATACATAATGCTTTTGTTTATAATTCTTTGCATGAATTATTCATTACTTCTCCCTTTGTTTATGATGGCATCTAAAGGTAGTTGTTAGAAACGATTAAACTCAGTGAACGTGGTATGTCGATGGTAATAATATGGCTCTGGGCTACACCTACCGATTACCTACACCGACTTCCTACAAATAAATACTACTCACCTCTCGCCCTACATTAAAACTACAAATATTTTAAGGTAAGTAATGAATGTACTGTTCATGTATTTTACTTTTTATTGTGTTTTTTAATGCCTAGTTCTGTTACTAACTTAATTTATTTTTTGTTAATATTTTTGGGTGTCTGGAACAGATTAATTGTACTTGCATTACAGTATTTCTTATGGGAAATATTAGTTTGGTTTTCGCCCATTTCGGATTTCATCCGACGTTTTGGAACAGATTAAGGACGAAAACCGGGGGTCCACTGTACTTCCAATTAGCTATTTAATTTAATTTTTTTGCACATTTTATCCAGTTTAAAACCAGTTACTTTTATTAATTTAAAAAGTTTTCTTCAGTAAAACATATATGTACAGGGTAATTTAATAAATGATTTGTGGTTAATTATACAAGTTATTGATATAACAGCAGATCTAACAGTGTTCTCTCTCTGACAGGGTCCCTTCTTAGGATTGGCCTTCATAAATAATAAATGAGAAATCCAGACTCGCCTAGCTGACCCTACATCGCCTTGGAGCCTCCTATGTGCCAAGGACGATGAGCTCCCAGAAAGAACATCCCACCTAGTCAATCTCCTGACCCTCCAAACATAACCTGTTACACCTACCCTGAAGCCTAACTGGATCTGTCCTCAGACCAGGCCATTCCTGGCCACTGCCACTTCTGAACCCTGGACCAAGCAACGAGAAAGGGGCCTCGTTTATAGTGGATGTTTGCCTTTTCTGTGATTGGATGTTTTGTTGATGCCCTCTTCTTGCTTCTTGAAGTTTATCATTCCATGATGTGCTTGTGGTTCATTCATGGTTTGTAAAATATAGTTAACTAATCTAGTCATATTGCTTTCTGTATGTCAAGTCTAGAGATATATTATTTTTGTAATTTTATTTAGATGTTATGCTGTCCTCTTTAGATTATTATTATTATTATTATATCATCCACAATGGAGAAGCTGCCTAAAGTTCCCTCTCGATCCAACTCTCCTGTGAAGAGTGCAAGGAAGGGAGACCAAAAAGTCCAGTTCTCTGATGAAACTGACCTAAGGCTACGAGGAAATAAAGTATGTGGTAAGCCACCCGAAGTTCCTCGAGCTCCTCCATATGGCCGAAGTAGTAGTAGACTTAGTGGGAGCAGTAGTATCAGCAGCAGCAGCAGCAGCAGCTGCAGTAGCTCTAGTACTAGCAGAGGAAGTAGTGGAGGAGGTAGCAGTTCTGTTTTAGACCGGCCATCTGGAAGGGTAGTTGACTCTTCAAAATGGACGTCTTCACTGGACCGTAAACGATCAGGGTCAGTAAGAAGTAAAACCTCTGACCATCCCCAAAGAAGTGATATTAATCGCAGTCTTTCATTAGACAGAAGAAGAGCTGAAAACACTCGCAGGGAAAGTGCAAGTCCTAACAGTTCAAGTACAGAAAGAAAGAGAAGAGAGTGTGAAAGTAAAGACATTCAAAGTAAAGAGAAGAAAACAAAGACCAGAACCCCAGGGCCATCTCATAGCAGGAGTTTCTCAGGGGAACGCCCAAGGCTTGCAGGCCGGCAGAGGATGGCTCCTCCAACTGTATCTCAAAGCTCAAAGAGTGAGCACCATAAGAAGGAAAATATTTTAGAACAAAAGCTCCCTCTCCAGAATGATGATAAAAACACAGGCAAAGTTAAAAATCGCTTCAGTATGGATTGGGCAGAGAAGATGAAGCGTGCTGGCTCCAGGAGTCCACACAGAAATCATCTAAATGGAGAAGGATCTGGGAGAGAAGACAAAGAAAATGAGAAAATGAGAGATAAAGGAAGAGAATCTAAAGGTTACGATAAGAAGGAAAGAGGAAGATCACTGAAACGAGAGAATAGAAGCAACAAATATTCCTCTAGTGGAAAGCATAGACAGTAAGTTTTGAATATTTGATGAGTTTTAAGTTTTATTAATGTTAAGGAGACAGTGTGTATCAGATCATGCATAATTATTGATATGTAGTTTCAATTAAAGCAGTTTAATGTGAAATAAAGAGTTCATTATAGTACATAAATGAATAACTTTAAAAATAATAGTGCATGATTGCCTATTTCTAGATAGTTATAGGAGCAGAACTCCTGTAGTGATAATAATAATAATAATAATTATAGAGTGGAACCTTGGTACTCAATACGTTCGAGAAGGCTGTTTCGAATGCCGATCTGTTCGAGTACCAAATGAATTTTTCCCAACCAGTTTTCTTTTTTGTTGGCTGTTATCACTAATCTTCTTAGGCCCCATGGTGACTTATTTATACAAAATAACATAAAAAAAAAATGAGAAGAAACACGAAATAGTTTACATCGAAGTTCTGGCAAGTTGTGTTTGTTTGGTCAAGTGCCGAACAAACGGTCGACTACCGAGTGATATTTTTACCGAACAAAGCATTCGAATACCGAAGTGTTCGATTTGGGAGCTGTTCAAGTATCAAGGTTCCACTGTAATAATAATAATATAATTATAACGGATCTTTGGCTTCAGTGAAATCATAATGCATGTGTGTAGGTTCTGTCTTATTAACATTTCTGAGTTCTCTGTGCATTTTTTTATTATTTTCATTTGCAGAAATGAGATACTACTGATATTGAAAATCATTTGGTGCATTGAACAACCTGTAACAGCTCATAATTTTCAGCGATGAAATAATAATTGATGGAGATGTGATGTGGTTGGGCAGCTGCAGCAAGAGGAATGGTTACCTTCTCTTCAACTATGCTAACCTAGATGATCCCCCAAGAGACTCCACTGCTAGGAAATACAACATGACATTTAAATTTTCACAGGTAATGTTTCATTATTTTTTTTTTTTTTTTTTTTTTTTTTTTACATTTTCTATTACAATAAACTGTTTGATTTGACTGTTACAGGAGAGCCATGCTTATACAACAGGTTAAGTTCCATGCTACTGCTGTAAAACAAAAATGGCTGTAAAGTGAAACAAAGCCTTTTTTTCACTTTCAAATGCATATAAAAGCCTGGTAAAATATTTAGTCATGTATTAGGTGAGCAATAGAGCCTAAAAAAATAGGCCTAAAAAATGCAAATACAATACACTCATTACTTACCTTAAAATATTGTCATCTTTAGCTAGTATTGAGTAGTGAATATATTTATTGTAGGAAGTCTGAATAAATGAAGAATGGGTATATTACAGCCCAGGAGTCCAAATGGCCTGTTATCCCTGGTGTAAAGGGAGCAAAATAAACACAGCAGAAAAACTTTTAACTTATATTACCCTTCACCAATTTAGAACAGAAGTATGTACACTATATACACTATGTACAGCAATAGGTATTAGTGCACTCCACGGTAAGCAAGGCAGAATAGAAGCCACTAGAGAGCAGACTGTGCTTCAACCAGCTCTAGAATGGGAGTGACAAGGGCAGACAGGAGAGTGGTACCCACGTAACCTCTGCGATTGCTAAAACCATCTTCTCATTGGCTGGAACCTGGGTACTGGTTGAATGACGGGGCCCCATCGTCAACCCTCAGTCACCTGGTTGGGGGAGATAGCCTGTAAATGAGGGTGTGTACATGCGCCAAATAAAGGTTATGTACTCTTTGTATGCCACACCCCCACCCCGAGAAGGCTCAGGATTAGGCTCCCACCTCCCAGTGGTAACCGTGCCGCCATGTCACAAAATAATGGGACCACCTTTCCTCTCAACTATCCAACTCTTGGATAGAGCTCAGCTTTTCTCGTGACAAAAAGCCAAACCCTAAACTCAGATCGAGACAGCAGACAGTAGGGCTAGCTTAGGTCCAAGACACGGGCGGACGGTAGCCCACATCCCCTCACTAAAAAAAAAAACCACACCAGGGGATAAAAAAAAAGAGATTGGAAGGGGTTACCACAAGTAAGCTAACACATCCTAACCTAATATATAATTATTATAAATAATATTGTTAGACTTTAGATAAAGAGTCTGCCAACATATTTTCTTTGCCGGCAATATGTAAAATTCTTAGAGAGTAGGGTTGCAGTCGTAGACTCCATCTCATAAGCCTTGTATTGTGGTTCTTCATGGCTTGGAGATATACTAGAGGATTGTGATCACTATAGACAGTGACCACCTGCGAAGTTTGTCCCACGTATACATCAAAGTGCTCCAAAGCCAGTACCAGCGCGAGGGCTTCTTTTTCAATGGTAGAGTAAGCACTCTGATGAGGCTGGAATTTGGTAGAGAAGAAGGCTACAGGCTGCAACTCCTTGGCCCCGTTTTGCAACAGTACTGCCCCAACCCCAGACTCACAAGCATCAACCTGTAATGAGAAAGGCTTGGAGAAGTCTGGAGACAGAAGAATGGGTGCAGTACATAATAATCTTTTTGCTTTGTCAAAGGCATCTTGAGCAACTGAAGTCCAATAAAGGGAGCCTTGTGACTGGTAAGAGAGGTAAGAGGGGTTACAATATCTGAAAAATTCTTACAGAATCTTCTGTAAAATCCTATCATGCCTAGGAAACGTTGAAGAGATTTCCTGTCATGTGGAACTGGATAATCTTTAATGGCAAGAACTTTAGCAAGTTTAGGAGCAACTTTACCACTACCTACTTCATGGCCTAGAAAAGTAACAGTGGCCTGGCCAAAGGAAGACTTAGATAAATTAACAGTTAAATGGAAACTCGGAAAGGTCTCAAAGAGAGACTCAAGTCTAAATAGGTGTTGATCCCAAGTATCAGACACCACAGCAATATCATCCAGGTACGCTGCCGTGCCTTCAAGTCCTTTAACAGCCTGATGGATAAGTTTCTGGAATGAAGAGAGGGAGTTTTTCATTCCGAAGGGGGTAACTGTATATTGATAATGACCTCCTGGAATTACGAAGGCAGAGATTTCCTTCGCCTTATCCGTCAAAGGTACCTGATAGTAACCTTTAAGGAGATCTAACTTGGACACAAAAGGATCCTTACCCACAAAGTCAATTACGTCATCCAGACGAGGAAGAGGGAAAGCATCTGTGATTTTGACCTCATTCACCTTACGGTAGTCTGTACACATACGAAACCCTCCATCAGCTTTTTTAACAAGGATGCACGGTGAACCCCATGGACTAGAGGGACTCCTCCACTAACCTTTGCTCTAACAGAAATTCTCTTTCGTGCTGAAGTAGCCTCTGTGTTTCAGGAAATTAGCTCTGTAGGGGGAGAGTTTAAGGTTTAGAGTTTCCCAATCTACATCATGATAACCTAACTACATTTTTCGGCACATCCGAAAAAATATCAGGGTATGACTTTAGAAGCGCAGTTAAAACTTGTTGCTTGAGTTTCAGATAGCCCCACCATTAAAGGGCTAGGGTCTTGAGGAGGACAGAGTTTGGAATTTTTGACTTTTAATTTCAGAAATAGGTCCCAAAGAGTCAGAGTCGTCCTCAGAGGAAAAGGACAGAGTCATTACTGGGATTTATCTGGTGTATGAAAAGATTTTAATTTGATTAATGTGGTAAGTTTAGTTTTTGGGGTCTTATCAAGGGGGAGTACCACATAATTTACATCAGATAATCTACTTACAATTTGCATAGGTCCCGTAAATCTAGCTTTCAAGGTGTGGCCGGGTATAGGTTCCTGCACCAAACTTGTCTCCTGGAGGAAGGAGGGGAAATTTGTGCATTTCTGTCAAAACTCTGTTTCAAACTTATTTTGAGCTGCCTTTAGGTTAGCCTTGACTAACTGACGTGCCACCCGAACCTTGAAAACGGGTTGTAGAGTATCGAGCTAACGTCTTCTTCCCATCCATCCCTTTTTTGAGCACCCGAAAAGGAAACCCCGTACATTGTGCCAAAAAATCAGCTCAAACGGACTATATCCGGTAGACTCTTGCACCGTTTCTTGTACTGAGAACAGCAACAAAGGTAGTGATTCATCCCAGTCTGTAGGAAATGCATGCAAAAAGTTCTCATCATGGTTTTAACGTCTGATGGAATCTTTCCATGGCGCTTTGGGACTGAGGATGATAGGGAAATTTGGATAAGCTGTGGATTATCCCTAACCTAGTTATGCTTCCCTAAATGCTTTGGCAGTGAAATTAGTACCTTGATCACTTTGAATAGTTTTAGGAATGCCAAAACAAGAAATAAATTTGTTAAAGCTTTGGAATAGCTTTAGTATTAATATGCGCATGGGAATTGCTTGGGGTATATTTTCTTATCCTAATGGAAATAAATATGATTTCCCAAATTTTGCCCCTGGGTATGGACCTACACAATCTATAATTAAATCTGCAAAAGGTTCCCCATCAGCGGTATAGGTTAAGGGGTGCAGGTTTAATGGAATGTCCGGGTTTTCTTTACTTGTGACATTCTCGGCAACACCAGTATGGTTTTCACATCCTGCTTTAATTTTGGCCAAAAAATTTTTTTGTGTTTTATATAATGTTTTAGTAATTCCTAAGTGACCCCCTAATGAAGTTTAGAACTATTTTAAATATTTGATTTAAACTTTGTTGGAATACAACCCTGTTGTAATTCCCCGGCCCCCCCTTTCCTTCCCAGTTCAGTGCAGATAAAATAATAGTTTTAAATTCATACTTTTTCCGGGTGATCCAAAAAGGGGTTTTTCCCATGGCTGCCCGAAAAGCGAAAATTTTAAAAAAGGGTCCTTTCGTTGTTCCTCCCCGAAGGACATCCCTCGGGCATGGAAAAAATAAATCTGCAATCCTGAACCTTGGGAAAAGGAAGGCGATCTGGGGTTTTTTCACTTATCTACGAGGCCTGGCCCGTTTTTTCCCCGTAAAAAAAAGTGTCTATTCCGAATCGGAGTTTTCCCAAAGGGTAGGTCAACATTCTCGCGAGACAACCCTTGGGGGTTTTCCCGGTTTGGCCAACACCGATTGCAATCGGTCATTAGTTTTTGAGTCATGTTGACGGGAGTAAGGCTTGAGCTAGGTTCGTCCAGGGGGCCCGCTAGCTGGGGATTCGTCTTTAAAAACTTGCATTTGTGGTCAAGAGGTGCCTGTGCTAAATTTCCTATGGTGTGAAATATACCTAGTTGGATGAATCTTTTTGTGGCTAGTGGTTAGGGGGTAACGCGACGGGCTGGTTTTGAACTCTATGACCCCGGGTTTAATCCGGCCGGGGGGATGGTTTAGTAATGGTGAAGCTGGAGGTGCTGTCCTGGGAGACAGTAATGGTGAAGCTGGAGATGCTGTCCTGGGAGACAGTAATGGGGAAGCTGGAGATGCTGTCCTGGGAGACAGTAATGGTGAAGCTGGAGATTTTGTCCAGGTAGTCGGGAATTATACGCAGGAAGGAATACATATAAATGACCTCATAGGGGACAGGAGCCATAGTAGGGAAACAAGTGTAGTCAAAGATAAGATAAAACCAATATTGCAAACTAGAAATACCGCAGGAAATAGCAAACAAGAGGACTCCACTAGCAATAGTGAGGATATATTACCAAAAACAACTGGTGGGAGCTCCATTGTTGGTGCTAGGGAGGATAGAAGTAAGACAGGGAAACATGCACCAACAGGGAATACAGTCACAGAAACCCAAGGCAAACGGAAACCAAGCCTGTGCACATACTATGCACTCGGTATCTGCTGGCATGGGAAATCTGGAAAAACAGATGGGACGTGCAACTATGACCACCCTAGGAAATGCCATGCCCATATGACAACAGGAAAATGCAAACTCCCTTCCTGTAAGCTTTTTCACCCTGAACTGTGTACCTCTTCAGTACAGGAAAGACTGTGCTATAACTTAAATTGCCAGGCATACCATCTAAAGGGGACAAAAAGATACAAAACATCCAGGCCATGGGAAAACCTGGGTAGCCACAGCC